AAAGCAAAGAGGAACTAAAGAGGCTCTTGATGAAAGTGAAAGAGAAGAATGAAAAAGCTGGCTTATTTCAAAAAACTAAGATCATGGCAACTGGTCCCATCACTTCATGGCAAACAGATGGGGAAACTGGAAGCACTGAGACTTTATTTTCCTGGGTTCCAAAACTGCTGCAGATGGTGACTGTAGCCATGAAATGAAAAAATGCTTGCTCCTTGGAAGAAAAGTTATGACCAACCTATACAGCATATTAAAAAGCAGAGACATTACTTTGCCAACAAATCTTCATATAGTCATAGCTATGGCTTTCGGTAGTCATCTATGGATGTGAGAATTGGACCATAAAGAAAGCTGAGTGCCAAAGAATTGATGCTTTTGAACTGTGGTGTTGGAGAAGACTCTTGACAGTCTCTTGGACTGCAAGGAGATCAATCCAGTCCATCTTAAAGGAAATCAATCGTGAATATTCACTGGAAGGACTGATGCTGAAACTCCAATACTTTGGCCGTCTGATGTGAAGAACTGGCTCATTGGAAAAGACTCTGATTGTGGGAAAGATTGAAAGCCAGAGGAGAAGGGGATGATAGAGGATGAGATGGTTGAATGGCATCACCAACTCAATCTACATGAGTTTGAGCAAGCTCCAGGAGTAGGTGATGGACAGGGAAGCCTGGTGTGCTACAGTCCATGGGGTGGCAAAGATTTGGACACTACTGATAGACTGAACTAACTGAAGCAAAACAATATGGTACTGGCAGGAAACAGACATAGATCAACAGAATAGAATAGAGAGCTCAGAAATGAACCCACAGTTATATAAGCAATTAATCTATGATAAAAGGGGCAAGAATACACAGTGTGGGAAAGACTGCCCCTTTAACAGTGTTGGGAAAACTGGACAGCTACATGTAAAAGGATCAAATTGGACTACTCTCTCACACCATGTACAAAAATAAATTCAAAGTAGATTAAAGGCTTAAACCTAAGACGTGAAACCAGAAAACTTATAGAAGAAAGCATAGGCAGTAAACTAGAGCTCCACAAGAGAAGTCATGGCAATGAGAAGCCTGAGCACCACAACTACAAAGTAGCCCCCCACAGCAAGCTCACTGCAACCAAAGGCCTCATGCAGCAACAAAGACCCAGCACCCACAAAAATAGATATTAAATTTCAAACACATTTTATATGGAAAGACAAAGGAAATTTAGAAATAGCTAAAACAACTTTCAAAAAGAAAAATAAGAATAAAGTAGAAGGAAGCAGTTTACCTGATTTCAGGACCGTGTGGTACTGATGTAGGTAACTGATAAATGTTACAGGATAAACAACCTAGAAATAGATCCACAGAATATGCCCAAGTGATTTCTGACAAAGTGCAAAAGCATCTTAATGGAGAAAAGATATCTTTTCAACAAACGCAATTGGACAACCATAGGGTAAAATAAACAAAAAACAACAAACTTCAACCTCAAATCTACACATTATATAATAATGACTCAAAACGGATCAAGGACTTTAAAAATAGAAGAAAATCTTCAGCTCTAAGAGTAAGTAAAGAGTTCTTAGATTTCACACCAAAAGTATGATCTATAAAGTAAAAACTAACTGGACTTCATCAAAATTAAGAACTTTTACACCATGAAAGACCTTGCTTAAAAGGACAAAGGGGGAAGGTAAGGAGTGGGAAAAAATATTTAGTAATTTAGTAACTACATAGTCAACAAAGGACTAGTATCTAGATAATACAAGGAGTACTCAAAACTTAACAGTGAAAATATAAACAGTTCAATTAGAAAACGGGCAAATGACATGAAGAGTCATTTCACTGAAAAGGATAACCTGATGGCTAATAAACATATGAACAGATTTTCAACATCAGTAGCCACTACAGAAAATGTAAATTAAAACCACAATAAGGTATTACTACACACCTATCAGAACTGCTAAAATGAAAATACTACCACCACCAAATGCTAGTGAGGATGTGGAGAAATTAGAACAGTCATACACTGCCACTAGGAATGTAAAATGACACTATCAGTCTAGTAAACAGGTTGGCAGTTTCTTAAACCATAAACAGGCAACTACCATACGACCCGGAAACTCATGGATATTTACTCCAGAGAAATGAAAACTTACAATGATATTATGATTAATAAGATATATACATTTTGGTCTTAACCCATGGTTCCTGGCACACAGCTCCAAAATTCCTATAATTTCCTAATTGACATAGAGCAAAGGTATAAAAATGGTATGAACTTAACAGAAGTAGAAGATATTAAAAAGAGGTGGCAAGAATACACAGAAGAACTATACAAAATCATCTTAATGACCTGGATAACCATGATGGTGTGGTCATTCACTTAAGAGCCAGACATACTGGAGTGTGAAGTCAAGTGGGCCTTAGGAGGCATTACTATAAACAAAGCTAGTGGAGGTGAAGGATTTCCAGCTGAGCTACTTCAAATCCTAAAAGATGATTCTGTTCAAGTGCTGCATTCAATATGCCAGCAAATTCAGAAAACTCAGCAGTGGCCATAGGACTGGAAAAGGTCAGTTTTCATTCCAATCCCAGTAAAGAGGAATGCCAAAGAATGTTCCAACTACCACACAACTGAGCTCATTTTACATGCAGCAAAGTGATGCTCAAAATTCTTCAAGCTAGGCTTCAACAGTATGTGAATCGTGAACTTGCACATTTAAAGCTGGATTTAGAAAAGGCAGAGAAAGCAGAAATCAAATTGCCAACATCCTCTGGATCATAGAAAAAGCAAGGGAATTTCTGAAAAAAAATCTGCTTTATTGACTATGCCAAAGCCTTTGACTGTGTGGATCACCACAAACTGTGGAAAATTCTGAAAGAGATGGGAATACCAGACCACTTGACCTGCCTACTAAAAAATCTGGAGGTCAAGAAGCAACAGTTAGAACTGGACATGGAACAACAGACAGGTTCCAAATTGGGAAAGGAGTACGTCCATGCTGTATATTGTCACCCTGCTTATTTAACTTATATGCAGAGTACATCATGAGAAGTGTCAGCCTGGATGAAGCACAAGCTGGAATCAAAATTGCCAGGAGAAATACCAATAATGTCGGATATGCAGATGACACCATCCTTATGGCAGAAAGTGAAGAAGAACAAAAGAGCCTCTTGATGAAAGTGAAAGAAGAGAGTCAAAAAGTTGGCTTAAAACTCAACATTCAGAAAACTAAGATCATAGCATGTGGTCCCATCACTTCATGGCAAATAGATGGGGAAACAATGGAAAGTGACAGACTTTATTTTTTGGGCTCCAAAAGCACTGCAGATGGTGACTGCAGCCATGAAATTAAAAGACACTTGCTCCCTGGAAGAAAAGCTATAACAAACCTAGAGAGCGTATTAAAAAGCAGAAATATCACTTTGCAGACAAAGGTCAGTATAGTCAAAGCTATGGTTTTTCCATAGTCATGTATGGATATGAGAGTTGGACCATAAAGAAGCCTAAGTGACGAAGAATTGATGCTTTCGAGCTGTGGTGTTGGAGAAGACTCTTAAGAGTCCCTTGGATTGCAAGGAGATCCAAGCAGTCCATCCTAAAGGAGATCAGTCCTGGGTGTTCACTGGAAGGACTGATGCTGAAGCTGAAACTCCAATACTTTGGTCACCTGATGTGAAGAACTGACTCATCTGAAAAGACCCTGATGCTGGGAGGGATTGAAGGCGGGAGGAGAAGGGGACGACAGAGGATGAGATGACTGGATGGTATCTTTGACTCAATGCACATGAGTTTGAATAAGCTCTGGGAGTTGGTGATAGACAGGGAAGCCTGGCGTGCTGCAGTCCATGGGGTTGCAAAGAGTCAGACACGACTGAGCGACTGAACTGAACTAAACGTTTAGGTGCTTATTTCTTAGCCTTGCATCAGCCTCACATGGTAGGTTTTGTATTTCAAATGTGGAAACTGAGACTCAGAGGAGTTAAATTATTTGTCAGAAAACAAAACAAATTTTTGACTTAACTTTTTTGGAACCCACCCTCACCCCACTCCCTGCCACATGCTCCCAAAGGGCAATATTTAGAACAGAGAATTATTAGAAACAAGTCACGTATTCAACTTTAGAGAAAGCATTGAGCAGTTTCTTACATATTAATATAATTACTGCTGAGGACATATAAAATGATAGTATTTGGATGATGTGTATCTGAAATGTGAAGAAGAAATAACAAAAACATGTACATATTAGTTACAGTTATCAATGCAAATGTATAAACTTTTACAAATAGAAGAATTGTGTTTACCGGTCATAAATATTTTTCAGTCATTTATTTTGCAAAATTGCTCAAGTGACTGATTTCAATAATAAGGCAAATCAATAATTATCAATAGTACCTGCTTTAGGAAATAGAGTGAATAGTTGTTGTTGTTGTTGTTTTAAAGGAAAACCAAACTCAGGAATTCCCTGGAGGCCCAGGGGTTAACACTTGGCACTTTCACTCCTATGGGCACAGGGTTTGATCACCAGTCAGGGAACTAAGATCTCTCAAGCCAAAAAAAAAAAAAAAAACAAACAGAACTATTCACTTCCAAGAGCCATGAATCTTGCTATTGGCTTTATTAGGATATTCTGGGGAGTATTTTAAGGTCTCATAGGACTTCTCCCAACTGCCACATATCCTGGCATCAGTCTCTTGCCCCCACCACTACTCTGAACATCCCTAATCTACTGGGGGAAGGACCCATTAGTTTGAACAGGCAATTAAGAAATCACCATCCTAAACAAGAAGTTCAAAATGTTTTTGGCATTTTCTTTTATTTCCCCTTCTTCCCACCTTTCTCTTTCCAGATTCCTTCAACGACTCTGAATTAAAGTCTCAGATGTATCCTTGGCATCTTTCTGATACTTCTGATTTCTCTGTACAGCATTAGCTATGTGGTATTTTAATAAAGAAAGATACTATATTAAGGAAAAAGCCACAGAAAACTTCCCAAGCAGCAGACACCTGCGTGCTTACCAGCCTGAAGTATACCCCTTCCTTCGTCATCAGTTCCCTGTGGCTTCCCTGCTCCACAACGACTCCGTCGTCAAACCCCGCGATGACATCTGCATTTCGGATTGTAGACAGCCGGTGCGCTATCACTATGGTGGTCCGGCCTTCCCTGGCCTAGAGGGAGAAGGACAGGCATGGAGGGCAGCAGGGTTACACCGACCTTGCACTGTTGATTAACACGCAATGAAGCACGCAGATGGGGGTGTCTGTGGTTGACGGGACAGCAGCTCACCATGCCTGTGTGGTCAGGACACAAAGGCATCACTCACACGTGAATGGATACAGGTGACTTAAATTCTGGACCAGACAGGAGGCCAGGCCCCCAGGATGATGATGGAAAACTCTGGAGTTTCTCTAATGTTTTCATACCATTGTGAGGAGCCCTGGTTCTGAGTTATATGATATGCTAAAGACTTTAGCAGAAGCATGTGGAGAAGTTGTTGCCACATAAGGCCTTCTCCAGAGCACTTCTGTATGATTTCTTCTGAAGTGCTTGCAATTCTGTAATTACTGTGATTGTAATTCTGATGGACTATGTGCAGGCACCTTAGGCAAAAACATATCCTGAGGTCTGGATGGTTTAAATTCTGGTTCAGAGACCATCTCAGTCACAAACTCTGGAGTGGGGCCAGTAACTGTGATTTTTAACAAATACTTCGGGTGGTTTTTATGGATACTGAAATCTACAAATCACCCCCTAAGTAGTTCAGTGAACTTACATTAGTTTGATGGGTTTATGAATGGGCATTTATACCCTGGAAAATGTCCATCAAATTATTCACATTATGTCATTAAAAATAGTTATTCTTTTTAATATTCATTACCCTATTAGACTAACAACTTCTTAAGACCACTCCTACCTACTCTGAGGCAATAAAACCACATTGTTAGGATGGTATTTAGGGTGTGGCCCAAATCACCTAAGCAGTTAAAAACATAAAAACAAGAGACTAGATTCATAATAGCCAAAAAGTGAGAACAATCCAAGTGTTCAGTTGATCAAAAGATTAAAAAAAGGTGGTATATCCATACAATGGAATAGCACTGGGCCAGGAAAAGAAACGAGATTCTGATACATGTTTCAACATGGATGGACATTGAAAATATGATGCTAAGTTAAAGAAGTCAGTTAAAACAGACCATGCCTTGTATGATTCTATTTATTGTAAATGTCCAGAATGGGAAAATCCAGAGAGAGAGAAAGATTAGCAGTTGCCAAGCACCAGGATGAGGGTAGAATAGAGTGAGTACTATGGGGTATAAGGGGTGTGTTTTTTTTTTTTTGAATAATGAAAATATTCTGCAGTGAGATCATGCAGATGGTTGCAAAATCTTGTGAATATATTAATACTAAAAACCAATGACTGTGCATTTAAAAAGGGTGAACTTCATGGCATATCAATCTTTTTAAAAGATTCATCAATCTTTTTTAAAAGAGTATCCACAAAAATTCTGAAAAAGTTAATAAATATCTGGGTAATATCTCCACTAGATACTAAAACATAAAAAGCTACAGCAATTAAAACAATAAAATCCAGAGGAAGCTATCACATGAACAGACAATTTGATAAACAGAACCAGAGAGTCCAGAAAAGACATACATTTTTAAGAATTCAGTTCAGTTCAGTTCACTCAGTCGTGTCCGACTCTTTGCGACTCCATGAATCACAGCACACCAGGCCTCCCTGTCCCTCACCAACTCCTGGAGATTACTGAAACTCATGTACATCGAGTCGGTGATGCCATCCAACCATCTCATCCTCTGTCGTCCCCTTCTCCTCCTGCCCCCAATCCCTCCCATCATCAGGGTCTTTTCCAATGAGTCAACTCTTCACATGAGGTGGCCAAAGTACTGGAGTTTCAGCTTCAGCATTTAAATATTAGTGTGTGATAAATATGCATTGTCTATCAGTAGAGAAAAGGCAGACTTTGTGATTAATAGTACTGAGTCAATTGTGTAGCCACCTGGAAAAAAAACAATGTACTCTTTCTTCTTCAGGCCTTATACTAATAACCAGATGAATCAACTATGTTTCAATAAATATAAAACAGCCTGGTAGCTCAGATGGTAAAGAATCTGCCAGCAATGGGGGAAACCCAGGTTTGATCCCTGGGTCAGGAAGATACCCTGGAGAAGGAAATGGCAACCCACTCCAGAATTCTTGCCTGGAGAATCCCAGGGACAGAGGAGCCTGGCAGGTTACCATTGATGGGGTTGCAGAGTCAGACACAACTGAGTGACTAACACACATGAAAGCATCAAAAGACAGAGACGAGAGCACAACTCTACTGGAAAACATTTAAGACTGTTCTTTGATTTTTAGCAATGGGGCCCCAAAGGAAACCTTCATAAATCTTTACTTATATACTAAGAAGGAAGTTGCACAGCTTTGTCCATGAATGATAAGGTATATAGGAAATAATTCAATCAGTCTAATTATATTCATGATACTAACAGTGATGAGTAACTGCTAACAGTGGCTGGGTTTATCATTTGATAATAATAGGTTAATGCTATGTCAACTTAAAAAAATAAAAACAAAGGAATTGGGAGTCATACTTGTGATTAAATGACTGGTGTGCAGGAGAAACAAAGTATGTATTTGTGAATTTCAAAGTTAGCAACTGTCACCCTTGACCAAAGAATTTTGGCTAGAGTAGAGGAGATCTAACACAAAAGAATATTTTCAAACACCCCCACGATGACAAAGACACTGGCAAACAAGTATCCCAGCTTCAAGGAGACCAACTATGAAGAAATCTGAAACTTCTAATGTTGGATGTGCAGGCGGGCTTCCCTGTGGCTCTGACGGTAAAGAATCTGACTGTGATGCAGGAAACCTGGGTTCGATACGTGGGTTGGGAAGATCCCCTGGAGGAGAGCTTGGCAGTCCACTCCAGTGTCCTTGCCTGGAGAATCCCACAGACATAGGAGCTTGGCAGGCTGCAGCACCTGGGCTCACAAAGAGCTGGACACGGCTGTGTGATTGAGCACACAGCACAGGAATGAATGGTACGCCCAAACAGAGGAAGGACTAATCTATGAGTCTTTTTGACTTCTGGGGAATAAGTGTAAATGGAAACTTTTAGGGATCATTTCATTAGATCACTATTTTCATTTTTTTCCTGCCCCTCCAGTATGGAAACACTATGAGTAGAAGAGGGACACAGGTACAAAACTTTGTGATTATTGACTTTCTTTAAAAAATCCAAATATCAACTCTGCTTTTCTATTCTTTTTTAAGATTTTTATAGTGAAAAACTTATTATTTATTTTGAAGAACAGCTGCTATCTATTGAGCCCAAAGTGTATATGGTCATTAATTATTTTTTTCTAATGTAGAATGTATTATTCAATGAGCTAGGCCATGGTAATCAATTCAGTAAAAATTTATTCAGGCTTTACTATGTGCAGGCACTGGAGTAGGTGTTATAGGGTAAACATGAGCCAGTTATCAGTTCTGCCTCTTAGGGGAGAAAGAGAGAAAGCATATGAATAAACAGCTAACTATAATAACATGGTGCCAGACAAGAGGTGGTGATAAATGTACAAAGGATCTACAAAAGGAAAATATTATGCTTCCAGGCTAGGTAATTTCAGAGGAGAAACAGTAATAGTGTTATATCCTTATGCTCCTCAAAGGACAGAGAATTACAAAACTCAACTTTTCACTGTTAAAAGAGAGTTGGTTTTTAACCAGATGGACCAGCCAACTGACTGACCAGTATCACTGGGGGAGAGTGCAGTATGAAGGACTTCCCTCTTAAAGGCATAGTTTATTGTCTGAAAAATATTTCAAGACAAATTATCTTGCAATGTATGGAGTCAAGTCCGTAGATTAGAAAACATCTGTAGCAACTACAGTAGATAAAAAATGGCCAAACACACTTTGCGGCTATTCCCTTCATAAATGGACTGTATTTTTCCACCTCCTCAAATTCGGGCAGGCCATGTGACTAGTTTTAAGCAAAAGATGTGAAGGAATGAATGCTTGTTCAATGTCTGAAGCACAGACTTCAAGAGGCCTTAGAGCTTCTGTGTTTGCCAACACAAATTGCTAAAATTGAAAGAAGAAATGTATCCAAATATGAATTAAAACTTGCATTGGATACAACTTTTGCTGACAGAATCCACATCATGAACAGATTTTTCAGTCATTCTGCTTGTTTAGCACAGCCAGGGCTGCCACCCTGAATGCACACCTCCTAGAAAGCTTTGGGGCCTGGGTCCAGGGCTGACTGGGACTTTTTCCTAAATACCTCTTATCCCACGTAACTCTATGCTAAAAAATCTATACTGACACTTTTTAAATCGATTGTTTAATGAATGCATGCATTTGTTTCTATGATTTCCTGATTTAAGTCACTTCTAATTAACCAACCAAATATAAGTCCCCTATGTATTATACTTCGGTTCTTTGAGACTTAATAAACATGAAAGCAATGTAATTCAGTACACAAATTTATGAGGAATAATTATCATATTCTCTCATTAATTGTTAAATTACATTACATAAAATAAGCCAAAATGTTAATATGATAAACCACGAAGCCTGAATTAACTACTTACAGCACACAAGGCAGTTGTGTTTACTGAGGATTCAAGTATAAGTTTTCCTGAGAAAATAAGGTTCATACAGCTCATCTGTATAATTCCAAGAGGACATATCTCAGATATAAAATACATAATATACATACATACACATATATGTATGACTGAATCATTTTGCTGAACACCTGAAACTAATGCAACATTGTAAACCAACATATTTCAATAAAAACTGAAAATTAAAGTAGGTCAATTCAAAAAAACAATATTTCAAGAGGCAATTTGGATACACTGTTAAATAACTTACACATTTTATCACTAAACTTTCTGAAGTCAAAAATGTTTATGATGTTTATGTGTGTGAAATCTATTTACATAGTGTCATCTGACTAGTTTTTACACTTTGTTGTTATGACAGATGACATCAGCACTAACCTTGAAAGTGTCCCAAGATAAGGTTAATGCTGTGAAGCTTCAGCTTAGTAAAGACGATAGTGAGAGATTTAGAAACACTGAGCCAGGCCCATGAGTTCAGCAGCCTTGAAATATGTTCCTTATTTATATGCTTAAAGAAACACACAAATCGAATATTTCCAGAGAAGCACCCATTCACTTTTATGAGCAGAGAAAGATGATGTACTGCTACAAAATAAGGCAAGTATTTTGAACTGCTTTCCAGATAGACCACTGGGTAAGTAATCAGAATTTTCTTTGTACATTTTACGGCAAGAACTTTTGATCAAAGTCCTAACCTATGTGTAAAAAACCAAACAAAACCCCCAAAGCTAAGCAGCTCACTGCACAGGCCTGGACTGGGGGATAACTACACCTTGGTCCAACAAAGCAAGCCAGTAAATGGGCTGCCCACCTCTCTCTGCAGTGCGCCCTGACAGAAAGGAGAAATCAAGAAAGTCCCATGGCACTGACATGTACACACTGCTATATCTAAAATGGATAACCAACAAGTACCTCCTGAACAGCACAGGGAACTCTGCTCAATGTCATGTAGCCTGGGTGGGAGGGAGTTTGGGGGAGAATGGATTCACGGATTGGAAATGCTGAGGCGCTCTGCTCTGCACCTGAAACTATCACAACATTGCTCATCAACTGCACTCCAGCATGAAATAAAACGCTAAAAACAAAAGCCCCACGGGCGAGCTTCATCTGCGCTCGTGTTCCTGGTTTCAGCCCAGGCTCGCAAAGCACCGGTGAGAACTTCAGTGGAGTTCCAGTGGGCTGCTCCTCCAGGGGTGGAGGGGCCACCCACCTTATCCAGGGCCGCCTGAACCTCGGCTTCGCTCTCCGTGTCCAGCGCTGAGGTGGCCTCGTCCAGCAGCAGGATCTTGGGGTTGCGAACCAGGGCCCGGGCGATGGCGATCCTCTGCTTCTGCCCACCGCTCAGCTGGGCCCCTCTCTCTCCAACCAGGGTGTCGAATTTCTACAACAGAAAGCGTGGTAGAGCTCCTGAAAGATTTCAAATAGAAGCAGCTATGGAGTCTAGGGATTCATGGAAGACAACAGGGCGTTTCATTTTGACCAGCGTAATGAGTCACAACTCATAATAAATCATGTCACATTCTAAAAAACTACTAACACAAACTCTGTATAAATGTCCTGTGAGTCACTGTACCAAGCCACACTCCTTAACCCTCCAAATGGATAATTCAAGGGACTTACCTAGCAAAGTTGGACAACCTGGAACCTCAAACATTATTAGCTTAAGCTTTGAAGAAAGAACTCGGTGGCGTGAGTGAAGTTCAAGGGCACTTAAATGAACAGAGGCTGTACCTGTGGTAATCTCATGATAAACTCATAGGCGTTGGCTTCCTTCACAGCTTGCTTTATTTCATCCATGGTGACATTTCCACGGCCGTAACGGATATTTTCAGCAATGGTGGTGGCAAAGAGCACTGGCTCCTGACTCACCACTCCAATTATTTCCCTCAGATACTTTACATTAAATGTCCTAATATCCTGCCCATCGATGATAATCTGGAGAAACAAGACACTTCCATTAAATCTTTTAAACCATCTGACGTTGAAAGCATTTGTCACCAAAAAAGCCTTAGCTAAAATGTGATTCACGTTGTAGAGCAGAGACCAAGACAACACTGTAAAGAATTAACTGCCAATTAAAAAAAATAACAATACATCCACTGGATCCATACAAGCTGATGAGCTATTTATGATTTTACCACATGACATGTAAGTAAAATGGTGCTAATAAAATTGTTTCTTTTCCTTTTTCTGGCCATGCCACTTGGCTTGCGGGATCCTGGTTCTCAAGCAGGGACTCAAACCCAGGCCACTGCAGTCACGTGCTGAGTCCTCACCAGTGGAGCACCAGGGAAGTCCTGCTAATAACGTTTCCTCACTAGCACTCACGTAATAGTAAAGTCAGCACCTGTAATTTATATCTTTATTCTTTTAAGAGGCACTTTAGTGGGATTATCAGCTATTTCTGCTTGCTGTGTTTACAAAGATCCTGTATCTTGAATGCTTTAATCTTTTATTTAAATTATTACCATTCAATTTATACACTGGAATCTATTATTTTAATTGGGGTGTTTTCAACATTGGGGAAACCATCTTTTAAATAATCTTTATCAGAACTTTACATATTATTTTTAGAATATAGCTCAATAAAATCTGTTTGCAGACAAGACAAAAAGAAAAAAAAACCTTAGCTGATATTTAACTTATTTCCATGGCTAGAAATGGGAATTGGAAATAAAGAGCAATGTGCAAGGCTAAAAATAAAGTCTATTCTCTCTTTTGATTTTATTATCTTATGTATACTGTTTTTCATGGATGGAATATTCTCCATAAATGATTATATATAGAGTTATGTATTTTGGCATAACTATGATTTTTGCTTACCGTTATTAAATCTGAATTAAAATGTCCATTTACCTACGTAGTCTACATATCACTTTGATGGCATTATGATGTTTTACTCTACCTAATATATCAATACCATAATGAACTTCTGCATTTCCCACCTGCTGAGTATTTGGCTTCGTGCAATGAACACTGAAGGACAATCATAGTAAAAGGACAGAATGACCAGACTGAAGAGTGTGTTTCATTTTTTCTTCTCCAATAATAACTGCTTAACTCACAATGACTGGCACATGTTGGGTATTTATTATTTGCTAAAAAAAGGTTGAACAAACTCTCTAAAAAGATTTTTAATAATTTACAGTGTCAGCAGGAATATATATATTTGCTTCACTGTAATTTACTAGCTTTTATCATATTAATCTGTCTTTTCTAATTAATAAGTATATGGTATAGGTTATATTTAATTCATATATAAGTGAAATTGAGCATTTCTTGAAACTTTTTTACAAATCTACATTTATCCTCAAAAGATATGCATGTTCAATGCCTCTGATAGATTCATATTAATTTATAAAATAGTAATATAATAGTTTTACCATATATCATAAATTTTTCATTCCAATTTCTTTCTTTCTTAAACTATAGCTTTACTGATTTTTATTGGAGAGATATTTAAGGGAAAATTGAATCAATCAACTGTATCACTGGGCATTTTTTCCATTATTTCAGCAGTAAGAAAACTTAAATCACAATGTGAACAGTGAATATCTCTGAGTTATAGAATTTCTGAAGATTTTTTTCCTGCTGACATGTATTTTCTTTTAAAAATGTATTACTCCAATAGTAATTTTTAAAATAAAATGTTTTCTAACACTTATCCTCAATGTAAGAATTTACTAGGCTCTTTTTTAAAAATGAAAAAAATTCTTTATACTAAACCAACCTAGAGTTTGCTTTAGGAAATGAGAAGGGCCCATGTTCCTACTTGGTGTATCAGATTTTTCAAAGAAATTTTGTTAATTTTATTAAAGAAAGTAAATGATTCGTGTATCCTAGAATCTCTGCCCTCTGTTAATGCCTTTTTGTGTTTTTTTTTTTTTTTTCCTGTGTAACTTGTAAACTTCTGTTTTCATAATTATAATACATTTCAATGTCAGGTAAACTCAATGTTTGCAGGTCAGTACAACTGAGGAAATTTGAATACTTACTGTGGGCCCCTATTTATTACTGTTAAATTTACTGATTTTGATAATTCTTTTGTGATTAAGAGAATGTTGTCTTCTCAGAAAATACATTCTGCTTTGCTATACGCCTGAAATGAACACACATTGTAAAACAACCTATAATCCAGTAACATTTAAAAAAATGAAATTATATTCTAATGTATGTAAGGGTCAAGGGGCGATAATATCTTTAACTTACTCTCAAAGCTTCAGAAAAAAAACCGGTATGTATGTTTGGGTTGTGTTTTATACATACACACAAACATGTAGTAAGAAAGAGATGATAATAAGGCAAGTAGGTCAAAATAAAAACAATTAATAAATCTGGGTGAAAAGTATAGGTGAGTTCCTTACTTGCAACTTTTCTGTAAGTTTGAATTTATAACAAAAATTTTAAAAGATCAATGGAAGGCCATTACTGTTTCTCATGTCCCCAGTTTCTTGGAGACTGTTCCACTTTCTCTTTCAGATATTCCAACACTGAAGAAAACTCAACTGTCTTTGATGAATTTAATTACTGTCCTAAGATTCCTCGTGACCCTGAACACAAGCTTATTGACAATTACTAATGTGGAACATTTTAAACCAAACTCAGTAAGTCACTGAAAATAATCCTCTCAGTGGTTTGGATGACTGTTTTCCAGTGACAGAGTGGATTATGAAAAGCTTAGTTGGAACAGAGGAGAGTACTGACTAGCTTCTTTGAGTTTTATCATCTTGACTACGTTTTTTCAAAATAGCCCAAGGTTTGAAGGTCTTATCCAGATGCACTGCAATTCTATAGCCTTTTTTTTTTTTAACCAAAATTGGATTCACATGCAAATATGTTACCACAAAAAATTTTCTAAGGGCTATTTGACACCCAGCCTCCCATTCTGAAGAGCGGGGCTCTCCCCACTTACCCTCCCCACGTCAGGGTCATAGAGCCTCTGTACCAGCTGGACCACTGTGCTCTTCCCACAGCCGCTGTTCCCAACCAGGGCCACCGTCTGCCCGCTCTCTACCCTCAGGTTGAGGCCCTTCAAGATCTTTAAGGGAAAGAGAAAAAGAGTACACTTCACATCAAAAGCCTGAAAGAGAAGCTATCTGACTCAATTTTAAAATTTGGGAAAATAGTATTAAATAAGGGAATATAACCCCCAAAGAAAAGGTACATACATATCAAAATAACAGAGACTGTGGATTCCTGAAGATGATTAAACAATCAATCTAAATTAGGAATCCCTATAAATATAACTTATAATACCTTGACATCAGGACGAGCAGGATAAGAGAAATGAACATCTTTGAACTCCAAATTCCCTTTGATGTTGTCTGGTTTGTGTCCTCTCTCTGAAAAACTGTCAATTTTAGGGTCCTAAACAAAACAAAATTCAACGGCTATTCCATCATAGCATTTTTAAGGAATATGCTTCAGCAATTCCAAAATCAGGACCCAAAAAACCATAATTCCCTTCATGTGAGTCAGAACCCAAGGTGAAGACTGTATATGTGTGTGTGTGTGTGCTTGCGTGTGTATGTATGTTTGTGTTTATGTGTTTAAGGAAGTATTCCTTCTCTGAAAATAGGTCTTTCTTAAAAAGTACATAAGGGATATATTTTTTTCATTTCATATGATATTTCACTTTAAGTTTCTGGCATATCCTCATAAATTTTCTAAATGTACATTCCTACAACTGCAACTACAAACTATACTATAATTGATATATCCAGGTATTTCAGCATTTAGTGAAAATTAGCTTACTCCTAAACAATAAGTATGATGGACTGGACTGAGAAGTTGAACAATTGGCTAGGGACAAGTTAGTTTGGAATGATATAAATTTTCAATATATGCAGAAGCTGAACAATTTTCTCAAGACTTAGACAGATGAAACAGGAATTGCTTGGACTAGACAATTACATTTCAGTTAGCTAGTTAGCATATTCTCTGTGTAAATGCAAAGATCACTTTTAATGTGTCAAAATGATTTTCTTTATTTCACTTCAGTCAGGATAACTTATGCAATACAATTGATTCAAAATTATATCGTATATACAGTGATCATTTTTTCCTTTTTGAGAGAGAGGGCAACCCACAGCAAATCATTCTATCAATTTTGGTCCCACCAATCATTTTTCCATCCACTCATCCTGTCTACAAAGCATAATATTCTCAGTCTGGCTAAAAAATGAAAGAGAAAAGGAGAAAAACTAGGAAGACAAACATCTTTGCTTTGAATTCTAATAATAACACACTAGTTCAGATGTCCTTTCCCAAATGAGGTCAGTGCTATTTGATTAAAGATAAGCATTCAGAAATATTTTTTCTTTAAAATAAAGTTTATTGGAGAGAGAACTCTTTAAAAAAAAAAAAATCTGTTCTCCTTTATAAAAGTTCTTAGCACATTCTGCCTTTTAGTCCCCAATTGGCTAAGTCAAACTTAAATTTATTAAACCCTAACTTGAGACAGGGATGGTAATAAGCACTTCTAACCTCATTTATTCCTCACTTGAAATCCCATTTCTATTATTTATTATTATTTTGTATTGATTCTTTAATTTGGAACCATTGTGAGTGTTACAAATAGTCAAGCCTAGGCTTAACCAGAAAAAGTTTCCTCATCATTTAGAGCTGGTTTAGATTACTGATCTTGGGATCCTGTGAGTTCTCAGATTCAGAATATAATGCAAATAATTAACCTTGAAAAAGAGGTATTTTTTCAAACTTTCACAAATATTCAAAAGAGGCATTTGGTTTTATTAATTAATAAGCAGAGGTTTTCATGTCACTTAATTTTTACAGGACATTTAACATAAGGCCAGATTTAATTATCCAGGCCTCAAACAAATTTTCAGCATTAAGAATAGTAAATGATTCACATTATCAATAATAGCAAAGATCGCATATGCTGCTCCTCTTGCATTGGCAAAACTATCAATACAGGGAGCCGCCTGTCCAATGCTGAAGGCTCCGATCAGGATTGAGAAAAAGACCTGAGCAAAAGAGCACAAGGAAAAGTTACCTGTCCCATCCCAGTGTCCACTGTCACCTCAAACAGAATGTTCGGAACACAGGCTACCCGAAGGATCAAGATTAGGTCTATCCCTTGAAAATTTTTTTCAGCACAAGAGCAAAATTTACAAGGTCACTACAGAATTTTGTTGCACAAATGGCTTTTTTCAACCTCAAAAATATTGTTTCATCGATCTTGTCAAACTATTGGTTGTTCTTAAATCAGAAAGATTTTTCAAACCTGTTGCCTTGATTCTGAAGCCATTGCTACCAGAGGAAAACATTTTCCGTCAGCATTATTCAGTACTAAATTATTTTCTCTAACTATGCATGGAATTACACAGAATGTTCAAGATGAAACAAGTAGATTTTGGCCCCATATAAGTTTCCTTAAAAAGTGCCATGTTATTTATATATATATACACACACACACATACATTTTAATAAGATTTTTAACATTAAAAAGTAACAGTTCACGCATTATAAATCACATCTGTGTGCATTAGTTAATAATTCCTTTACACAATTAGTCTGTACTATAGCACACAAACTTAACACATTTCTGTTTTTTTTTACTAGGAAAACAAATTGATACAGAAAAGTCAAGACTGTAGTTTCAGAAATCCAGGTTATTAGCATACATTAACTGAGAAAAACATAAATGAAGAGAAATGACTCCCTTCTCTCTGGGCATGGTGAAGCATCTACTTATAGTCTGGCTTTCTCAGAAGATGACAGAAACAATAACACTTAACATACCAGGACTCAAATATCTATCTACTATCTGCAATACAGAGAAAGACCAGCAAGAGAGCAAAACAATGTCCCTACCAGAAGCAATGCCATAAAGTTAACACACTCGATCCTTGGTCTTTATGAAGACGGCATCACTGGGCTCCCTGCATCATGGGATCACTCTGCCCTCCTGTTTGGGAGAAGTCACTGTCTACACCCAACAAATGGGGAGACCAGGCCAGAGAGGATGAATGCCAGAGTCAGGGCTCAATCTCCCTGCTTTGCAAAATTTAGCAAATGAGGAAGTAAAGAGAGGTGGAGTGCTTCCAAGCTGACAAGGAGAGGGGACCAACCAACATGAGAAAAAAACAGACTCGGCAGTGATGAAACCTCATCCAGCCAAACAGCCCTCAACACTTCAAGGGGAGTCTGAAGGTACCACTCTAGAGAACATTCTGAAATGATACATTTTCTTAATGCCTGTAAGTCATCATCAAGGGGTCAAACTGTGTTCCATGTCCTCTGTTTAGAAAGACAGGGAAGTGCAGGCTTTAAAACATGGCTAGTTGAATGGTTACATGTTGTCCTGACCATCACTGATATGGAAAGAAAGTCACAATATCTTGTTAGTTTATAAAAAAATTTACAAAAAGATATGCATAATACAATTTAAGTTTTGAGAGAAAAAAACCTATATACAGAAAATAATCTGGAAGATATACACCAAAAGTTATCATTAAGCGTATATGGATTTTTAGATCATAAGTAATTCTAATTGTAAGTAATTTCTAATTTTTAAAAGTATTCTAATTTTTTGTATAACTAATATGTATAATTTTTGTAATCATAAAATGAACTTATTTTTTTTATAAAAGAAAAAAAAACTAAAATCACTTTTCATCTTGTATTTGGATAGCCAATATGATATAAATTTAATGTTCTCTCATACTATGATCTATGTATAATAATGTTTACTTTCTTATATAATGAAAATCACAGGCACGATGAGGATGGTGCCAATTGATATTTGTTCATTCATAAACTCTTTCCATCTTTCTTTATACACTCCATATGTTTCTCAATTGGCCTAACCACATGTTATGCTCTGTGTATTCTAGAAGGCCAGCTCTGCCCACAGGACTGAGCAAAGATTTGCCACAAGTAAAAAGGTTAGAACCATGGTTCATCCTTCAAAAAGGAGGAAAATGAAAGAAGAGGTAGATAGATAAACAATATTTTCAGATAAAATGACTTACTGTAATTGCATTTCCAATAGTGTATTCTTTGGCTATAACTAGAGTGGATCCATACCAGAAGGCCAGTGCATACGATGCATATATTAGCAGGAAGGCAGTGCCCATAGAAATGTTCGCTGAAATAGCTTTTTTAATTCCAATCCTTTTGGCATTTTCTAGATGTTTCTGATACCTACCCGGAAATGAAGGCGGAAATATGATAATAAGAATCCATAATCTTAGCTATATTCCCCTCCTGGACAGCTAGAGGTTTAAGGGACAAAAACCATCAACCAAGAAACCCGTGGAGATACCCAGCTACCCGGGAATTGAACCAGTGCAGGGTCAGCCTGGACCACAACCCATCTGAGCCTTTTCTCTACTGGCCTGGACCCATCTCCCTCAGTCCCCACCAGTCCCACCAATGTTCCCATAGCTGATCCAGGGCTGAACGCCCAACCCTGGGAGAACCTCACCATCAACCTTCATGGCCGGCATCACAAGTCAAGGTTAGGGAGGAAGAAGAGAAACCACACCCACCAGGAGTGACACCAAAATGTAAACTGTAAACACTGTGTGGGACTCTTAAAGCAGTTACATTCTCAGGACAGGCTACTTTGTTTTCTCGGCTGTCCCACTGGGTGAAAGGGAAAGTGTGAGTCACTCAGTCCTGTCTGACTCTTCGCGATCCCACGGACTGCAGCCCACCAGGCTCCTCTGTCCATGGGATTCTCCAGGCAAGAATACTGGAGTGGGTTGCCATTTCCTCCTCCAGGGGAGCTTCCTGACCCAGGGATTGAACCTGGGGCTCCTGCATTGCAGGCGGATTCTTTACCATCTGAGCTACCAGGGAAGCTTGACCCCACTGGGGAAGGGATGGGATTCTACCTGTTTGCGGGCTTATCCTCCAGCCTTTGCTTTCTTGCTCCGCTTTGGTTTCTGTTTTGTTCTGTTTTTGATTAAGTCAGGGTACAGGGTACAAAAAGGTCACTACTTATGGGATATAGTTTCTGACTCAACTTTTTTAGATTTTAATCACTTGTAAAATGGAATTACTTTAAAAAAATTGAAGTATAGTTGATTTACAGTGTTGTGTTAGTTTCAGATGTACAAAGGGATGCAGCTACACACACACACACATTTTTCAGATTCTTTTACCTTACAGATTATTACAATATATTGAGTACAGTTCCCTGTGCTATAAGTAGGTCCTTGTTGCTTACCTATTTTATATAGAGTAGTGAGTATATGTTAATCCTAAACTCCTAATTTCCCCCTCCCCTCCTTTTCCCTTTGGTAACCATAGGTCTGTTTTCTATGGCTGTGAGTCTGTTTCTGTTTTGAAGTAAGTTCATTTGTATCGTTTTTTAGGCTGCCTATTGTAGTAGGATATCTGTCTTTGTCTGGCTTACTTCACCGTAGGATGACAGGCTCTAGGCCCATGCACACGGCTGCAAATGGCATTACAAAGTGGAGGTACTGATGCCCACCTTGCCAGATGGTGCGAGGTGGACAGACAATGTCAGAAAGTTGTTAGAACAGTGCTGGCACACAGTTGGGACAATCTGATAAATCCTATTCTTATTATTATTGCCATTGTTTTAGAATTTAATCTCTTCCTAAATACCACTCATTCTATTATTACCATAATTTTAAATATTAAGTAAAATCCGTTATTACTGGCTTCTGGGATTTGACATGAAGGTACACATGTCTAAAATGGTTCTGTTAAATAACAATGTTTTTTCATCAATTTCAGTTAAGCCTTTCATTCAATGCTAGATGCAGAGAGTGTAAAAATTTAATATTGGCTCCTTAAAATCAGAAAAGAAAAAATCCACTGGATGTACAGTGACACTTTAGGGAAAATATCACATCCATTAGAATGTTTCTGTTTCTAACAAAAACAAACAACATCATATCTTTTTTAGTTTAACCATTTAAGATGCATTTTTAAAAATGGATCCTGCCACCCAAAATTATATCTTTTAATTACTTAAAGCACCTAACTCTCTAGTGTTTTTTTCCTCAGTGCTGGGCCGTGCACTGACTTAGCAGAGCTTTGTCCCTGGGGAGACAGCTGGCACCCCACGCCCAGGGCTGTGCTGAATCCCAGGGGGCCTGGCTGCAAGGTGCGGGCAGGGAGGTTTACATCAGCCCCCGTGACATGGATTCCGGGGACAGTGATGGACATGCTGTAATTACCTTTGCTTAGATGGCTCGCCTTTTGCAGCTAATGGAGCGGCACTGATTACACTCATATCCTGAGGTGTGTGGGCTATTGTGTGCAGGAAACAGCAGTGAGAGAAAAAGGAAGCGGTTAGAGAACCAGGCACAGGTTGGTTGTCAAGAGGACTTAAGGAACAGAAAAACAGAAAATGAAAAAGAGGGGAGTGGGGACCTTTGCTTTCAAGGCTAGAGAATTTCCTGAGAATTTCTCTTTCAGAGAGTCGGGGGTATCAGGAGTCCTGCAGAATGGCAAAAGAACATATTTTACATGGAGTCATACTTCAGTTATATTAGGGTATGTTATTATTTAAAGAAAACTGGTTGGAGAGTTGAGTAGCCTTTATTAGGGGGAGGTATGTTCTGGCCCATATATTTTTGTCCATCAACTCCCCTTAGAGCAGAGGTACTCAACCTGTAATCCCTGGTTAAGGAATTTGACCAGGGAAAAATTTACACTTTAAATTTTGTTAACCGCTAGCCAAAATTCAGCATTTCCTTTGACTATCAGTGCAGGCAACAAGCCTCTGTAGTGTTAGCAGTAACTGTGACTGTGCTGCCAATAGAAATCGTAGATCATTTCCATATCATGTTCTACTTTTTACAAATATCTTGAAATACATTTTACCCACAGGCCTACTTTGAATTACAGTAGGCATTAGACCTATAGTTAGTTGTTGATATTCAACAGGTTAAAAATAGAGACATGGATTTTAGTTCAGTTGAGTTGCTCAGTCAAGTTCGACTCTTTGCGACTCCATGAATCGAAGCACACCAGGCCTCCCTGTCCATCACCAATCCCAGAGTCCACCCAAACCCATGTCCACTGAGTCGGCAATGCCATCCAGCCATCTCATCCTCTGTCATCCCCTTCTCCTCCTGCCCCCAATCCCTCCCAGCATCAGGGTTGTTTCCAGTGAGTCAGCTCTTCGCATGAGGTGGCCAAAATATTGGAGTTTCAGCTTCAGCATCAGTCCTTCCAACAAACACCTAGGACTGATCTCCTTTAGGATGGACTGGTTGGATCTCCTTGCAGTCCAAGGGACTCTCAAGAGTCTTCTCCAACACCACAGTTCAAAAGCATCAATTCTTTGGCACTCAGCTTTCTTCACAGTCCAACTCTCACATCCATACATGACCACTGGAAAAACCAGGACCATTTTTGGCAAAGTAATGTCTCTGCTTTTTAATATGCTATCTAGGTTGGTCATAACTTTCCTTCCAAGGAGTAAGTGTCTTTTAATTTCATGGCTGCAATCACCATCTGCAGTGATTTTGGAGCCCCCAAAAATAGTCAGCCACTGTTTCCCCATCTATTTGCCAAGAAGTGATGGGACCAGATGCCATGAACTTAGTTTTCTGAATGTTGAGCTTTAAGCCAACTTTTTCACTCTCCTCTTTCACTTTCATCAAGAGGCTTTTTAGCTCCTCTTCACTTTCTGCCATAAGGGTGGTGTCATCTGCATATCTGTGGTTGTCACTGCTAAAACATTGCACTCTTTCTTCAGGCCTATGCTTTGATATGTGACTCTGTGTGGATGTCAGCCTTCATGCTCTTAGTTCAGTCTACCAGTGTTCTAAGCCTTATATTAAAATGCTGGTGGGGGGACCGGGATGGGGAATACATGTAAAAAAAAAAAAAAAAGATACACTACGGTTGTGATAAAAAATAAATAAATTAATTAATTAATTAATTTTAAAAAAATTAATAAAATGCTGGTGGAAGAAGAAAGCAAAACCTTTGTACTATGCTTTTTTTTTTTAAATTTATTTATTTTTTTTATCACACCATAGTGTATCTTTTTTTTTTTTTTTTAACATGTATTCCCCATCCCGGTCCCCCCTCCCACCTCCCTCTCCACCCAATCCCTCTGGGTCTTCCCAGTGCACCAGGCCCGAGCACTTGTCTCATGCACCCAACCTGGGCTGGTGAACTGTTTCACCCTAGATAATATACGTGTTTCAATGCTGTTCTCTTGAAACATCCCACCCTCGCCTTCTCCCAGAGTCCACAAGTCTGTTCTATACATAGGAGTCTCTTTTTCTGTTTTGCACATAGGGTTATCGTTACCATCTTTCTAAGTTCCATATATATGTGTTAGTATACTGTAATGGTCTTTATCTTTCTGGCTTACTTCGCTCTGTATAATGGGCTCCAGTTTCATCCATCTCATTAGAACTGATTCAAATGAATTCTTTTTAATGGCTGAGTAATATTCCATGGTGTATATGTACCACAGCTTCCTCATCCATTCATCTGCTGATGGGCATCTAGGTTGCTTCCATGTCCTGGCTATTATAAACAGTGCTGCGATGAACATTGGGGTACACGTGTCTCTTTCAGATCTGGTTTCCTCGGTGTGTATGTCCAGAAGTGGGATTGCTGGGTCATATGGCAGTTCTATTTCCAGCTTTTTAAGAAATCTCCACACTGTTTTCCATAGTGGCTGTACTAATTTGCATTCCCACCAACAGTGTAAGAGGGTTCCCTTTTCTCCACACCCTCTCCAGCATTTATTGCTTGTAGACTTTTGGATAGCAGCCATCCTGACTGGTGTGTAATGGTACCTCATTGTGGTTTTGATTTGCATTTCTCTGATAATGAGTGATGTTGAGCATCTTTTCATGTGTTTGTTAGCCATCTGTATGTCTTCCTTGGAGAAATGTCTGTTCAGTTCTTTGGCCCATTTTTTGATTGGGTCATTTATTTTTCTGGAGTTGAGCTGGAGGAGTTGCTTGTATATTTTTGAGATTAATCCTTTGTCTGTTGCTTCGTTTGCTATTATTTTCTCCCAATCTGAGGGCTGTCTTTTCACCTTGCTTATAGTTTCCTTTGTTGTGCAAAAGCTTTTAAGTTTCATTAGGTCCCATTTGTTTATTTTTGCTTTTATTTCTAAAATTCTGGGATGTGGGTCATAGAGGATCCTGCTGTGATTTATGTCGGAGAGTGTTTTGCCTATGTTCTCC